GCCCTCCCCCCCCGCCTCTAGTTACTGTTGATATTAAGGCTTTTTGGGACAGGTATCATCTTTCTGGTCTACCTTCATATTGTGCCTAGAAAAGTAGAAACCTCATTTCTGAGTAGGGCTCCAGATTTACACCTCAATAATATATAATATAATTGCATCTACTTCCTTTTCCATTTCTCTGTTCTGGTTCGTGCCTTTTAGAATATAAGCTCTTTTGCACAGGAACTCAGCTTTCTTTTACGTCTGAAAGGCACTTAGCACTTGTGGGTGTTTCCAGAACAAACAAACAAAGAAACAAACAATACAGCATAAATAAGCAGCTTCACGAATCAAATATTTTTACCAGCTTTGAACATCCTATAACTTATTAAGATGCTGCAGGAAGAAAAGCTGAACAAAGATTTTTTTTTAATGATTTTTTGGACTAAAAAACATTGCTCTCTGAAGTGGATAGGAATAAATTTATTTTGTAATAAGAAATGCAACAAATCAAAGCTACCAAATGAATTCTGCTTTCATTTATCAGCTGAAACAGGCAAATCTCAACAATATCCAAAACACGTTTGCTTAGCTTGGGAGACCTGAAAGGTTTAAAAATAGTAGTTCCTGGCGAGGTCACCATCTGTAAAAGCAAATAATTACAACTGGCATGTTAAACCAACTGTCATTTTCACTGTGGGATCCTAAAATAAACAACTCATTCTAAAAGATACTATCTCTTGTTTCAACTTACTTGCATGAGATTAGATAAGGTAATCTGGCTCTCAGGCATACAAGAAAAATAGGATAAATCCTAGTTTTTTGTTTGTTTGTTTTGTATAACTAATTCTTTATTAAAATTGAAATATTAACATTGAATTCAGGCATTAACGTATGACTCTAAGTAAAATATCAATATGCCAAAAAAAAATCAGCATATTCATAAAGCTTTTGCAAGGCTATGCCATCTGTGACACAGAATTGTGCACATCTGACTGTTTGCCACAATTAGAGCATGATCTGATATGCCTCTTAACCACTACTCAGTATGTAGTTGCTTCATCTTTCATTCTACTGTACTGCAGACCAAAGCATATGCTTTTCCCATATAACACGTTCAGTATGATCTGCCACATTATAATAAGCAGTGACTTTATATATGATCCTGCTTTTTATTCCAAATATGTCAGACCTGTTGAATATAGCTAATGACCTTTCAGCTATATTGCCACTAGTTAGAGAAGGAGTTGGCAAACTACAGCCTGCAGGCTGGATCCAGCCCAATGAGGGACTTTGTCCAGCCCATGGTGGGCCTCTCGGTCCTGCCGAGCCCAGGCACTCCAGCCCATGGCATATCCCACTGGCCTCGGGTATGCAGCAGGACTGGGGAGGCACCATGGCTGGATAGCATTGCCTGGCAGCCCGGATGACAGTCAGGCTCTGCCTGTGCTAGTCCTTCAAGCCTGGAGACCAGCACAGGCAGGGCCTGAGCCCCAGGCTGAGCACACGCCCCTGGCCACAATGAGCGGCTGTAGTGGGAAAAAATAGGACCAGAGCCTGCACTGGGACTGCCGTGTGGCTTCTCCCCACCATTGCCATTGCTGTCTCCAGGTTGTCCCAGGCCCATGCACCCAGTGGGGTGGTGGGGAAGAGCCATAGGGCAGTCCCTGCTGCCCATACAGCTCCCTGCCTGCCCACAGCCCCATCCCACATAGGGAGGTTATGGTGAGATGTTGCACCAGGGGACAGGGACTGCTGACCCAGCCCATGACAGTTTTCCAAAACTAGACATAAAATCTCAGTCCAAGAATGAACTCAATGTAAAAATAAACGCATCTTCCTGAATGTGCAAATCAAAAATAGTGACAAAGTCCCAGCTCCCAGCAGCCCGTAAGGCATACCAGTTTCTATAGCCAAACATCACATGTGGTTGTGATGCATGTAGCAACATGTTCAGCATAAGTCCACAGCACAGCTCAAAGTGACACCTTTGGAGCTGTAGCAAGGTGCCTGAACTACTCTTCTACGACATCCCAGTGAATCTGCAAATAGACAACTCCAGTGCCTCTGCTCCAGCAAATATTAGCGAAGTGAAATGACAGCCAGGGTCAAGGATACTCCCAAGCTTAGCAACCCATCAGTCTAACCTGGGTAAAACGCACCAATCTTCATGCCAGCATACACAAAGCAGTCATGTCAAGCAGTCTGTCAAGACAAAGTACTTTTTTTTTTAAGCAACATGCAGTTAACTTGTGGACTTCACTGCCACAAAGTGGTGGAGACAGATAATGTAGCCAGGTTCAAAAAGAGACTGGATAAATTCGTAGGTGACAGATCTATTAATGGCTATTGAACAGAATGGTTGGAGATGATTCCAATGGCATCTCTAAACCTGACAGATGCCAGGACGGGTAAGGAACAGAGGATTAGATATATCCAGTTCAGTGCTCTCCATGCAGAGCATACACTTCTGCCAATGTCAGAGATAGGATACTACTAGGCTAACTGACCCAGTATGGCACTTTTTACATACTTGTGTAGCCAGAATCACATATATTCACCATTAACTCTGCAGCTTTGGTGACCAGAGACCCATTTCCAGCTGGGTAAACTGGGGAAAGTCTTCAGCCCAAGTCCAGAGTAGAATTTGAATCTCAGAGGTTGCAACAAGATACATCACCCACTTTGCCACCGCACCCCCTAAATTATAGTACTGCAGTCAATTTTGTTGCTCTAATCAAAAGTTCTCTGGACAGCAGCAAACCTGCCAAGGGTCAGATCAGTTCCATGGTGCTGTTGCTTGGGGAAAAAAAAGAAAAAGCCTGGCTGTAGTTATTCACTGGAGGAAAGGACTGAAAAATAAAAGTTGAGGCAGAGATTTTGCCTCAAAAATGTTTTATATTAATTTATTGAAATGTATATTACAGCCACCACCAAAAAAGGACCTAGTCAAAGGTCTGGGAATTTGACAAATGACTACACACCAAACTGAACTGCACAGAAATGCAGGTAACCAAGAGAGCCAGGTATTTCATAACTATTTTATAGATAATATCACCCTAAACAAATTTACTGATTATATACAGTTAAAATGGGCATCTCACTTTCCAGTAATTATGAATGTTTTCACACAAAGATAATGTGAACTTGTACCTACCCTCACAATTATCTTTTCAGAGACTTGTGCAGACAGCAAATAGGACTGGTCCTGAGAGACAGCATATAGTCCAACCACCAGCATGAAGTATCTAATTTGAAATGTATTTAAATGGTTAAAAAATAAAATAAAAAAAATCTTTTTACAAGAAGGAAGTACTTTTCTGGAGGAATTGTGCAGTTACATCTGTAATAGTTCTTGTATTTTAAGTATTACTTACGTTATATTATGGAAAAAAGAGGGAGGCTTCTTACTCTGCTTCACTCCATCTCTATTAAAACTCCATTTAATAAGGCCCATTGAAATCAACAGAAAGACTTCAGAATTGTTAACCCTAAGTATACAAGAATCAGGAGTCATAGCCCCAAAGATCATGAAACCAGCAAAGCAGTTTCTGAGGCCTTAGGACATAACACTCAAGTCACATTTTCCAGCGTTCCTTTCCAAGCACCCAAACCTACTTGCTTCTATTATAAATACCAGTATTCTCATAATTCTGTGACCCCAGGAGCTAACGGTGCCTATAAATGAGTGCAGAGGCTGCTCTGATGCACTGCAATTACAGCACATTGGTGCAGACTTGATTGAATCTGCCGGAGCATGGTGATTACTGCACTCCAGCAGCATCTTGTATCTCATTGTATCAGTGTCCCTGCAATTAAAAATGGTGGCAGGGGCGCTTGAGCTAAAGCTCATCGAATGAGCTTTAGCTCAAGCACCCCCACTGGCATTTTTAAGCGCAGGGACACTGATGCATAAGACGGTGTAGCACTGTAATTAGAGCGTCTCTTGGAGCTGCTCTAATTAAAGCAACACCCCCCATTCCCCTCTGAGCAGAGCACATGTAGAAGTGCCCTAGGGCTTTAGGGCAGACACTAACTGTCACGATACTCCGGATAAAATCACAAGTCTGCAACACTTAGATTTTCACCCATGTCAATAAATCATGCAATCCTCCCTCCACACACAGAAGAGTGCTCCAATACCTTTGGTCAGGATTAGGTTTCCCCTTTTTTCTCATGTTATTTGCTGTTGTTTCACTGAAATGCAGTCTTCCCAGTGTTACTTTGGTTACCTGGTCTCCTGGAAGATCAATTCTGAAACAGAAAAGGAAACAACATAGGGCATAGCAATCACTTGGATCCTTTGTTTGCATTCAGGTTTCTTCAAGATGATTAAATAGCTCACATTAAAAAAAACCCAACATCTCAGAAAAATGAAAGGGTAATACAGACATCTCAGGATAAGTGGCTAATAAATGTAATGCACTTTCTTCTTTCACAAAGCACTTCACTATCACATTTAAATCAGTCACAACATTCATTTTCAGAAGATAAATCGGGGTGAATATAGTCAAGCGCACACAGGATACAGGACAATATTGAGAACCCTTCTATCAGAAGCATGTCTGCCATCTCCACGGACAGAGCCGTACATCATAGGTCCAGTGATGTGTATGGGTATCCATTGCTAATTTGGATCTGAACTGTATATTAATAATGTTAAATTTGCACATCAAGTAAAGGTTAATTTCTCTGTTTGTTATGGATACTTATCTACAAGTCCTTTGTATATAAGCTGTTATAAAATATATACCTATACAGAAAAGGCCCTTATTACCAGTACCAATGATTTGATCAGAAATATTAATCACTTCAACTACTCAATTCCCTCCTGTTGTAAATCAATGTTACATCGTTGTAACCAATGAATCAGTTTACCAAAACTGAAAATCTATCCCTGGCAAAAAATAGCTATGATAGAGATGGTTTACACCTAATCTGGCTCCCCCTCCAAATCAGAATTCATTCATGCAGATTTCAACTAAGAGGGTTAATTCCAGTTAAGTCATACTTACATTTCATAAGATATTTTTCAAATGAGGCATTTTTATTATATGTTATCTATATTATGGAGTTTTGGATCTTCTATCTTGCTCAAATGTTTTTTATTAGATTCCACCCCCCTCCCAACACAAGATGTAGGAAGAATTTATGCATAAGTCACATTAAATTAATTTTCCTTTGACCACCAGAAAACCACAAGAATAGAAAAATACTGAGCCATGAGACAAAGTCAGTCCCTCTTGTATGACTGCAAGTAAAATATTTACACTGACCACAAAGAGGAAATGTCCAACAGAGTTCATGCTACCAACATACATATGATATAAAACACAGCAAACACTGAACAATCAGTTGTCACTATGAACTCTGCCCTGACCTCCTTCCCAAAATATTTCTTTTGATGCACATTATATTTTGCCTCTAAAAGGAAGAGAGTCAGGGTTTTGTTTGGGAGTTTTGTTGGGAGGGTGGGGGTTCAATTTCTCAAAAGCATATATAGAAAGTTTGGAGAGCCATTTGTCTTCAGAAGAAGATTTTAAATAAAACTCAAGAGGACCCAAATTCCATGACTTTGAAACATAACGTAAGTGCTTTATCTACTGCATTACTCATTATGATTATGTAGAGACAGTCAAAAAGCCAGAGACTGAATCAATACAGTTTCTTCAGGTTTCTCTAAGCTGTGAAGCTTGAACCGATAATGAAGTGAACTGATGTTAACTAAATCAGTTAAGTTTGATATGGATTCATCCAGATCTATCTTAAACTGGTTGTGGGCATTTTGAAACTGGTTTATGTGCACTGAATTTCTGTTATGTCACAGGTTTAAACCAGTTTCCAATCACTTGAACTGGTTTGTGTGTAACGTCTGTCCCTAGCCTATTTGATTAATACTCTGGGGCCAGATCTCCTCACTTTTCATTATGAAAAGCCACCAAACACACAAGAGAAAACCAGGGTACACAGATCTGGTAAATCAATGAGATTATTTGGGGCATCAGTGCCTCTCTCTCCAAATAGTTCTAGTTTCTCCAGATCTGCTTTGGTTTCTCAGTGACATGCTATAATGGAGCCATGCTATCTAGGATTACAGTAGGAGCTGCAGTACACGGAGTATCTCAAGTGTTGAGGTTATAAGACTTTAGACTCTCTGCTTTTTTATGGATTTCCAAGAGGTTGCTGGGGCCAGAGGGAAAGCAAATCTACAACCAAGATAACTGCTTAAATTTGGAGGAAGTCATTACTAGAGCCAAAACAACAGATTTCAGCTATCTGGGAAGAGAAAGCAGTAACGGTTCAGGAGAACGTATCTGAACATACAATAATGTATTGTGAAATAAAGAAATAAAATTGGGGGTTTAGAAAGGAGACACCTGTTGTTGACACAAATAGTTCAACAATCAGCAGGGAAAGGAGAATGAAATAAATTAAAGTACAAGAGGGCAATAGATTTCTGTACGTTTGACTTATTGTAGGGTCAAATGAAGAAGTGAAAATAGGACTGGTAAAAAAGGACATGCAGCTTCAGCAGAGAAGAATGCTGGACACAGCATCTGATGAAGCGAGCAGTTGCTCACAAAAGCTTATGCGTCCCTGATTCACTTAGTCTATAAGGTGCATGTGTACCCTGCCTTCTGCCTGACTTCAGACAACCACAGGTAATACCTCTCTTTGAGCAAAATGTTTGTTATGAGTGCCCAAGCCAGCAAGCTAGAGAGTCAGTTTCTCTCCCTCACTCTGTGTTTCTTATTGAAGCTATTCCACCATGTGTAACTAAATATTCATTGGGCCAGAAAAGATACTCCATACTCCAAGGAATATTTATATATAGTATTTATATCAAGTGAAACAGGTCCAAGTGGAGAAACAGAGAGACCACAGAAGATCAAATAGCCTAGTGGTTATGGCACTAACCTGGGATGTGGTAAATTGTAGAGGTCTCCCATCTCCCAAGAAAAAAATATGCCCACCAAATTACAGGCTACAGTGGAGTGAGGCTTCCCACCACAAAACATTTCAAGAGGCTTTGGTTTCTTTCCATGTGACAAATATTGCAGAGAAGTTTACCCTGTATTTTACTCCAAAGACAACATACCCCATAGTAAGAAGCAGACCCATTACCAGCTCTCTCAAGTAGGCTGCTTGCGGTAAGCATGACTGCAGTGCCTGGTCACTAGGTGATGAGGAAGCCAGTTTGTACTGAGCAGCTATTAACTGGGAGAGTGAACACACAACTGGTATACTCATTTAAGCTATATCACTGTCTAGTTAATCCTTACCTTTTGAGAACCACCTTTACTCTAGAATGGGGTGCCTTACACTGGTACACAGCTGTACATCACAGACCCACTTCATTTTTACTTCAGAGAAAAGTCAATTTAATCTTTAGTAAAGTGCTATATGTCCACATCCTCAGAGGTTCTCTCAAGATAGAGGTGGGGGGAACTTTTTCTGACCAGATCTGTCTGGAACATGACTGATACCACAGAACAACAGCAGTGGTGAGGGAGTGGGAAAAATAAATGATTTTCCTTACTTAACGGGATGAAAAGATTTTTTGCTTCGGTCCGACTGAGACTGCTCCATGGCAATTGTTTGATTTGGGGCTTCCACCTATATTCAAGAGGTGAACAAGCATTGTAAGTGCAAAACTGAAATAAAGACAGGAAAAGTTAATGTTGCAGTGTGAATAGACTGAAAATCCATATACAAATTCGTTTAAGAAATGGAAAGTCTCCCTCAGCCACCAAAAAATTACATGTTTAGGAATTACATATATTACATACATAAATAACATATGTAGGTGGCACCTATGTAAAACACATAGGTGCTACTAGATCAGACCTTTATTCGGCATTAACCAAAAACCTAGATCCCAGTGTGACCAATAAGTAACAGATGTTTCAAAGGAAGCTGTAGAATCTGCATAATGGAAGATTATGTAATAATATGCAAAAGACAAAAGCCTCTTACTTTGCCAGACTGTTTGCAGTCAGTTGCTATCCTGAAGCATATGCACACATATTAGGGCTGTGCAAAGCTTTGGTCCCCAATTCGATTCAGCAGAGATTCGGCTTGATTCGGTGGCCAAATCACCAAATCCAAATCAAATCAGGAGACCCTTTAATGTCTCCAAATCAAATTGGAACCCTCCGAATTGATCTGGAGAGATTCAGAAAGATTTGAATTGAACATGGACTGTTTTGCACACCCCTAATACATATATCTTCATCCTAACCAGGAGGTCCCACAGATTCTTTTTATACTAATATTTAAACCTCTTTCTGAATCCTATTCAGAAAAGCAAGTTCCAACAGTAACCTCTGCATTACTGGCCTAAGAAACAGGTAGAAAAACAGAGTAATTAATTATATCAGGGCAGTTCAACTAGCAACCCATGGCCTATGTGTAGGGGCCTTCCAAATTCACAATTTTGTGATTTTTGTGGAAACTGCAAATTTGGTAGGTCCCCTGTGAAAAAGCCTAGTCCCCATGAAAACAGGTGAAGATTGTGAAAAAGCAGCAAAATGCAGGGGGGGGGAATTAAAAAAAGGGGAGGTTGCAAGCAGAGGTGTGAAGCCCTGGTATCGGGAATCACGAAGGTGGGAGGGGGAGAGCAAAGGAGGGGAGAAGATTTTTTTCAGCAGACCATGGTACCTCCCCCCCACACACACACACACATCTCTGATTGGCTGAGGGGCCCTGGAAGTCCTGCCCTCTTCGGAGACTAATAGATAGCCACCTGTCAATCTCCAGGGAAGGATGAGACTTCTGGGACCCCTCAGCCAGAGGCATGGGGAAAGTCTGCTGTACTCCACCACAAAAATGGTGCTTAATGCTGTGCCAGGACCATGAAATCTGGAGGCAGCCTCCATGAATTAGGTAGGTCCCTGCATTTAGGCAGTGGGTGCTGATAGACATGGGGGAAAAGCAAACCAGACAAACAAACATAAAAAGAAACCCATCACTTTACTGGAAAAGGAATCACATCAGTTTGATCTGACTCACTCAGTGTCTGTATAGCTCATGCACTTCAGCAGGGCTTTTTGGTGTTTTTATCCAA